AAGACCATCATTCAGAATGTTATGTGCGAGGCCGAAATAATCTGCCATTCTTCTCTCCTCCATCCAGGAATATCGTTCCGAAGGGTGGTCGGCTTAGATGGCACAAGAGTTGATCATACTTCGACTTGCGTTTGCCTTGTCTGGTTGGCAATTTCTCTATTGCTTCTGCGCAAATTTTCGTAGTCAGCTCAGTTCCATAGCAAAATGTACAAAAGTTGGGTTTGAAAGTGCACAAATATTGGTTTTTTGGTCAAGCAAGCTATATAACTTCCGTGGGAAGTTCATCTTCAAGCTCACAAATTCCAATTTTTTGGCTTCAGAGACTTGGACGACCACCAAATGCAGATAAAATTGCCGCCAAGCTTGCAGTTGCAAAGAATGATATAACTGTGAGTTGGTTTTGTCGAGTGCATTGCCCTTTGATTTCCTGTTATCCTAGGACACTACCTCAACTCCGCCTGTGGTCGCTGTTGCTAGTGATAACGAACCCAAAGTTTTGCCTGCTTCGGTGAGTTCCATTCGTTTTTAGCCGAAAACTTAGTATATCTCTACTTCACAATAGTGGTTGGTTCCGTTGTGTTTTTGCTGATCTCTTTTTGTTATAGCGCGCTCCAAAAAGAGCTTACAACAGGAAGTCGACAACTCCACAAAAGGTACTGAAAGTTGAAAATAACGTGGATAACACCAATATCATCAGCGAGTTGTCCAAGCCGATGTCATTGAGCGATGTAAGTTGGCTTTCTCTCCGTAATGCTTACTGTTTATATCTGTAGAAGTGAGATTGCTGCTGTTCAGATTGATCTTAGCGGAGAAGTCCGTCCGTCTAGAGTGCGTAAAACGCCGAAATGGTTGGAGGACAATGCCTTCGCCTATTAAAGGAAGCAGGTTAGTTTCCTTCCTTCTTTTTTTCTTCTTTGCTGTTTTCATGTTTTTCATAACTTTTTGAGACATGTCTTTTCTTAAAGAAACTTAAACTTTATTTTCTGTTCGGGCCTGAGATATTGGCTATGATATGATAGCTAACTCCCGTTTCAAACTTCAAATAATAAGACATTTTCCGTAGTCTGTCGCTCCTTGTTACATGCTTAGACGTTAGCTATAACTTTTACTATTTTTGGGAACTTTTACTTCATCCTTCAGTAGTCTGTAGCTTCTCAAATTTACGCAAAATGAGTGTTGTGAAAATTTTGTGCTAGATCCCGTTTTTGCTCTGCCATACTCGTAGAGATTGTTAAGATTAATGTCCTTTTGGTTTTGTTTACTAGTGCTTTGGGTGATCTTTAGCAGTAGAAACGTCTTGCCAGCTGAGCACATCCAGAACTTTGTCTTCGCAGCTATTCAGTGCCTTTTTTTACCAAGAGTAAGAATACATTCGCATTTTTAGGCGCCACCGCTAACCGCCATCGCAGATGAGTCTAAATGTACATCAGGAAGTAACTCAGACCATTTATTGTTGTTGTCATTGATATCTACATAGTAGTTCGTCTAGAAACCTCAGTGTTATTCATTTGATTGCTATTTTTTTGTATATGATACATTTCGTCTTTATTCCAATTTTTGAAGTTTCTGTGCTTGTGTTTTATTTCGTTTGTAAACATCGTTGTGTTTTTTGTTTTGACCTATTGTTTGAAGATATCTTATACAGCATCTCATTATTTATTCACATTGTTTCCATTAGCGTCATCCTATCTTAATCTTCTATGCAATTTGGGCCATTTAGAAGAAATAAAACTTATTGCTTTTAAAAGATGATATATTTCGCCTAACGCCACTCGTATGCAAATGCCAAATGGTGAATGCTCTAAAAGCGATTATGCTTGTAAGATCAGAGTGCTTCGACACATTGTGGTAGTTTTATTTTGTGATGAGCTGTCGAACCCTGGAGGAGTCGGCCTGAATGATAATGAAACAACGTCATGATTCCGGTATTTTGTGGGAAAGGGGATATTTTGCCGTGTTTTTTT